GAGACTAGAGCCCAGGCCACCAGCTGGGCAGCTGGGTCCGGGGCTGGGGTGGGTGTCTCTGCCATCTGCCTCTAAGCTGCTGTGGAGGAGCAGTGCACTGGGTGCCGCAGAGGCAAGGGGCAGTGGGCAGGCGTGGACTCTTGGATCTGTCCTACAGACGGACGGACACAGCAGCACTGCCGGGTACAGCAGTGGACAGAGCCCATGTAGAGCGGGGGGGGGGGGGCGGTGCTCAGCCTGTGTGAGCCCAGGCCCAGCACATGCCCTGCGGGAGGGCACACTGCCTAGCACACCATATCATGGAGATGCTCCAGTATGGCCCACCCGGGTGGACAGGCAGGTGACCACCCAGGACCACACAGTGAGTGTCCCCAGCAAAGGGACCCATCCACACAGCTCCGGGGCAGCACGGACACCTCACACAACGCCTGTGCATGAAGCGGAGGGGGAAGGAGGATGATGCTGGCTTCAGCCCCTGCAAGGTTTAAGAACAGGCGACGCTAACCGGGGAGAGGAGACAGACCAAAGGCAGTGCCAGGAAGGGTGCAAGGACCACTGTCCATCATGACCGGAGCTCAATTCGCACAACTGTGCGCTCTGACCTAAGCCTGCCCACTGCCCGAGATACACATGCACTCTGCCGTATGCAAATTCTCTCCCAGCAGAGCAAGGACAAATGTCTCAAACTACAGAAATCGTTCAGGAAGTTTTGCTTCTCACGCTGATATGGGTTAGCATTTCTAAAATTTGCTTTAAAAATATATTGGGGGTTCAGTAAAGGAGTAAACACATTAAGGATAAGGGGAGCTAAGCTTCTTACCAGGGGGCATGAGATACAGAACCCCGAGAGGGCAGGATGTGCCCTGTGAGGTGGGACAGCAGAACATGCTCATGTTTGGTGAAGATGGATGGGTGGGTGGCAAATGGATGCCTGGATGAAGGGCAATGGAGGATAGGTGAGTCAATGGATGCAGGACAGATAGAGGATGGATGGACAGATGGATGAAAGGTGTACGGACAAGTGGGTGGAGACAGAGATGGATAAATGGATGGATGGATGATGGATAGATGGATGGATGACGGATGATGGATGGATAATGGGTGAATGGATGACAGGTGGATGATGGATGGAAGGATGATGGATGGAAGGATGATGGATGGATTGATGGATGATGGATGGATGATGGATGATGGATTATGGATGGATGATGGGTGATGGATGGATGATGCATGATGGGCGGATGATGGATGGATGATGGATGGATGATGGATGGATGGATATGGATGGATGATGGATGATGGATTATGGATGGATGATGGGTGATAGATGGATGATGGATAGATGATGGATGATGGATTATGGATGGATGATGGATGGATTGATGGATGATGGATGATGGATGGATGATTAGATGATGGATTATGGATGGATGATGGGTGATGGATGGATGGATGATGGGTGATGGATGGATGATCGATGGATGGATGATGGATGATGGATTATGGATGGATGATGGGTGATGGATGGATGATAGATGGATGATGGATGATGGATGGATGAATGATGGATGGATGATGAATGGATGATGGATGGATGGAAGGATGATGGATGATGATGGATGGATGGATTGATGGATGGATGGATGATGGATGAGTGATGGATGGATGGATGATGGATGGATGGATGATGGGTGGATGATGAATGGATGATGGATGATGGATGGATGATAGATGGATGATGGATGGATGATGGATGGATGGATGATGGATGATGGATGGATGATGGATGATGGATGATGGATGGATGATTGGATGATGGATTATGGATGGATGATGGGTGATGGATGGATGATGGATGGATGGATGATGGATGATGGATTATGGATGGATGATGGGTGATGGATGGATGATAGATGGATGATGGATGATGGATGGATGATTGGATGATGGATTATGGATGGATGATGGGTGATTGATGGATGATGGATGGATGGATGATGGATGATGGATGGATGATGGGTGATGGATGGATGATGGATAGATGGATGATGGATGATGGATGATGGATGGATGATGGATGGATGATGAATGGATGATGGATGGATGGATGATGGATGATGGATGGATGATGGATGGATGCTGGATGGATGATGGATGGATGATGGATGGATGGAAGGATGATGGATGATGATGGATGGATGGATGATGGATGAGTGATGGATGGATGGATGGATGGATGATGGATGGATGGATGATGAATGGATGATGGATGATGGATGGATAATAGATGGATAATGGATGGATGAAGGATGATGGATGGATGATGGATGGATGAAGGATGATGGATGGATGATGGGTGATGGATAGATGGATGATGGATGGATGGATGATGGATGATGGATGGATGATGAATGAAGGATGATGGATGGATGGTTGATAGATGGATAATGGGATAAATGAGCAGTCGCTTCACGGATGGGAAGAAAGGTGAGAGGTCTGCAGGGGACAATGATAAAGCAAACCAGGGGAACTCATCTTGCAAAGGGGATGCAGGGCCTCTTTGGAGTTTGCAACTGTGCTCTGAGTTGAAAGATACCACCTATAACAGTAAAACATGGCCCCTTGTAGTTTAATAAGGAATTGTTTGGTTTTGTCCAGGGTTTTGCTCTGTGTTCCTAGCACAGAGCTCCTAAAACCCTGAGTTTCCCGAGTGACAAGTGTGTCACACATGAAGATCCTTGCAGACCACACCTGAGGCTACGCCAGTGGAGAGACTGGGCTGGACGGGGCTGGTCACTGGAAGGACTTCGGACTGTAGCTTTACTTCCCACAGCAGCCTCCAGGAAGCGGTGAGTTCCAGAATGTAAGCCCTTCAAAGATTCCTGGGCAGGATGTGGGAAGCCCTGTACCCTCGCCCCATGCCTCACCCTCTGAATCCTCCCACGTGTTGCTCCCGAGTTATCCTCTATGATAAACCAGAGGACATGAGTAAAAGGCCTTCGTGAGTTCTGTGGGGCATGGGAACCCCGACCACAGCTGCCCCATCTAAAGCCCAGGCGGAAACCTGGACTTGCATCTGGCCTGGGGTGGACAGCCCTCTGTGTCTGTACCCTTCTCCTGCGGGGCCTGTGCCGCCCTGGCAGCTGGTGGCAGGATGGATTAAGGCGCGGGAGGCCCAGAAGAGAGGCGAGCGTGGCGAATGGACTCCTGGCGCTGAAAGAACAGGCAGCCCCGAAACAAGACAGGCATGAGCATCAGGGTTCCTGAGGCCTCGGGAAGGGAGGCAGGGAGCCCAGGCCACCCCACTCGGCTCTGAGTAGCAGCCCAATGGAGCAAGGACACAGCGACGTCCGGACGGCGGCCTGCCCTGGGCTCCAAACTGGGAATGAGCCACACGCCATCGCGGCAGATCAGTACAGACACCAAGTCTGTACTCCACAGTGGAATCCCACCCAGAGGACAGCTCCTGCCCCACCACAGCAGCGATGAGCCTTACAAAAGACTGCCAAGCCAAGGAAGCCTGGGGCCACCGCACAGGGCCAGGAGATGAGAAGGACAGCACACCGGGTCACACTGGAAGGTGCCCCAGGAGGTGCCATGGGCTGGTTGTGAGGGACCAGCAGGAGGTCCAAGGTCTGCCAGGCTGCAGCCTGCTCATGCCACAGGGCACGGCACCTGTTTGTGCCACCCTCACACCCTTGTGCCCACAGGCCAGCGTGGGCACTCCGTCAACAGAGGGCAGTGGACTGAATGCAGGCAGGGAGCCAGCATGCGGGAGGGAACCGGCTGTGCCTGCTGGGCCAGACCCAGAAAGCACCAGGCCTCCTGGCCCGCCTCTGGCAGGAACTCACCCAGGAGGCTCACAGCCAGCTGCACAGAGAACGAGCCCCAGTCACCTTTCCCCCAGCCCATCTTCTGCCCTAACACAGAGTCCTGAGATGTCAGAGAGCTCAGCAAACCTAAACCCATGTTCTCTGGGAAACCCCAGCCCTGGAGGGGGATCAGGGGGAGGAATGGGCCTGTCTGCATTCCCGGGTGAGGGAGGAAGGGTGGCCCTGGCAGGGTTGCCTGGCCCCATAGCTGAGAACCTGCCTCTCCGAGCAACCTGAGCACAGGGCTGGGCTTCGGACACCCACGTGTGGGGCTCACACTAGCACCCAGCTGGTTCCAGCAGAGGCCCGCTGTCAGGCCCCTGTCCTGCTTGCTTCTGGGAGGGCCCACAGGAGCAGTGAGACTGAGTTCATCGGCCAGGTCAAAGCAAGCCTGGCTCAGAATCCCCTGCAGAACACAAAGGATCGGGCCCGGGACACCTGGGCCCCAGCTGTTCGGGTCAGAGATATCACTGACCCGGAATAAAGCAGTGCTCAGTGCGTGTGTGAGGTCAGCAAATGTCCAGGGCTGTGACCGGGGAGCGGCCCCCACTCAGCCTTGGCTAGGACCTTCCAGAATCAAGAAACAGCTTGGCCCAGAAAGCCAAGTGCCAGCAGCTTTCATGCAGCTGCTGGGAGCCAAGAGGGCTCAGGGGATGGTCAGGGGATGGGGGGCAGGGCATCCTATGCTGGGGAGCAGAGCCCAGCAAGCTGAGATCGAGGCCCAGCAGACCCAACAAACCTGCTCCCTCATCCTCAGCAAAAGCAGGGCCGAGGCCGTTCTGTGCCTCCCAGAACTGGGGCAGCAACTCCCCCAGTGTCCCATTCCAGGGAGGGACCGGCCCTGCAAGGAAGCCAGGGAAGGACAGTGGGCGGTGGGGAGGGCTTTCCAGGCCCCACTCCTGGGGACGGCCCTGCCCAGGGCCAGGAGGGCTTTCTGGGAAGGGGTCGGGAGCTGAGGTCCTGCCAGATGGGAGTGGGGCTTTGGAAAGATAGCGAGTTTATCCAGAGGGTGGGAGCGAGAGGGGGGTGGTACTATGAGCAGAGACTGGCGTGGGGCACCGGGTGGGGGTGTGAGCAGAGTGGTGGGAGTGGCCAGGAGGCGGGGCACCCAGCCGCACCTGCTGGGAGCCTGGCAGAGAGCTGGGCTTATAGCAGCAGCTGGGCAGCCAGGGCGCTGGAGCGGTGAGTCACTGGGCAGCATGCTGTGTGTGCTGCTTCTCCTGCCTGGTCTCCTGGGGGCTGCCTGTGGCAGCCCCATCCTGGGCATCTCGGGCCCCCCAGAGTGCGCTGGGGGCTCCGAGGTGTGGTGTCAGGACGTGGAGGCGGCCGTGAAGTGTGGGGCCCTGGGGCACTGTCAAGAGGCCATCTGGAGCAGGCCCACTGCCAGGTCCCTGCACTGCGAAGTATGCCAGGATGTGGTGGCCGCTGCTGGCAATGTGCCGAACCCGGATGACACGAAGTCTGAATTCCTGACGTTGCTGATGAAGACCTGTGAGTGGCTGCCCAGCCGAGGGTCCTTAGCCAGATGCAGGCAGATGGTGGATGCCCATAGCCCGGCCGTCTTGAGCATGCTCCGTGGGGCCCCAGGCGGCACCCCAGCACAGGTGTGCTCAGCACTCACCATGTGTGAGCCGCTGCAGAGGGTCCTGGGCGCTCCGGGGAGGCCACTCACGCAGGACAGTGCCTTCAATGTTGTGGCTCCCTTCCTGGCCAACGGGGCCCTCACTTTCCGTACCCCGCACCCAGCACCCGAGGATGCCGTGTGCCAGAGCTGTGTTCGGCTGATCTCCCGGCTCCAGGGCACCCTGGGGCCAGACCTGACACTGGCCGAAGTGAACACCCAGGAGCAGTGTGAGTCCCTGTCGCCCAGCCTGGCTCTGCTTTGCAAGAAGTATATCCACCAGCTCTTCGGCCCCATGGATCAGACGCTGAGGGCTCTCCCGCCTCGGGAGGTCTGCGGGAAGGGGGGCTTCTGCGAGGAGCTCTGGGGGCCGGCCCAGAGGCTGGCACACCTGGCTGCTGTGGACAGGGTCCCCTCCATCGACCTGGGGCTGCCAAAGATGCCAGGTGGGGTCCAGATGCAGTCCGGCCTGACCTGCGAGGTATGCCTGAGTGTCATCAAGGAGATGGACCAGTGGCTGTTGTCCAACGGCACCGAGAACTTCATCACCCACTCCCTGGAGCGCGCGTGTGCCATCATGCCCCGCTCCATCGTCCAGCAGTGTGTGGTCATGGTGGACACCTACAGCCCCGCCTTGGTGGAGCTGGTCACCAGAATCTCTCCAGAAAAAGTGTGCGAGACCATCCGCCTGTGCAGCAGACGCCGGCGGGCCCGGTCCCTCTCCAGGGGGCTCCCAGTGACCACCGCACCCCCACCTCCACCGGTGCTGCTGGATGAGGAGAACCAGGGCAGTTTCTGCTCCAGCTGCCAGCGGCTGTTCCGCCTGTCTTCCGCCAACCTGGAGCTCAAGAGCACCAAGCGGGACATCCTGAGGGCCTTCAAGGGCGGGTGCAGCATCCTGCCGCTGCCCTACAGGATCGAGTGTGGCCGCTTCGTCACCGAGTACGAGCCCGTGTTCATCCAGAGCCTCCAGGAGATGATAGACCCCCTGGCCGTGTGCAAGAAGGTGGGGGCCTGCCACACCCCGCGGACCCCGCTGCTGGGCACCGACCAGTGCGTGCTGGGCCCCAGCTTCTGGTGCCGCAGCCGGGAGGCTGCCGAGCTGTGCAACGCTGTGGAGCACTGCCAGCAGCAGCTGCGGAAGCAGAAGCACCATGCCGGGATGCAGCCCTGACCCCCTGCGGCTGCCAGGCCCCCAGCTGCCCCACATCCCACGGGCAGCCTAGGAGGTGGGTGCCATCCATCCTGTTTCACAGGTGAGAAACTGAGGCTCCACGTAGGAGGCCGGGGAGGAACAGAGCCAGGCGCTTGCAGTCTGACAGGGCTCTGTGTGGACACCTCCACCTGGCCGCTTCGCCCTTGCAAATGTCACCAGCAGAGCCAAGCAGCTGAAGGGCACCGTCTCACCCCAGCCTAGCCTGCTCTCCACACTGACACTGCTGACGGATGGCCTGGGAAGCCCCACAGGGGCCTCGACGTGCCTTCCACCCCAGCCTGGGTGGACAGCCCAGCTGCCAGCCAGACAGGACCAGGGAGAAGGGCACAGGGCCACAATGGTCAGCTGCAGTCCCTTTTCCCTGGCTCAGGTCAGGGGCTGGGTCTCAACCTGGGGAGGCCAGGAGGCTCCCAAGGGTGCAAGCCAGATATGGATGCCTCTGGATTTCTCTTTGGGGGAGTCTGGGGCTCTGTCCCGGTTCCCAAAGGGTATTTCTGATGTCTTGGCTCCCCAGGGGACCCTGTCCCTTCCTTTAGGCTCTCAGCTGCCCTGGTACAATGAAAGTCTTAAGGTGGGGGTGCTTGGCATGGGGAGAGCAAAGCATGCTGGGTAACACCCTGGCAGCAGTCCCAGGGGTGTGGAGCGGCCGCTGAGGGTGAGAAGTGGCGAGGGCCAGTGAGACCCATGCCCCAGAGACAGGCCCTTCCCCTACCAGAGCCTCAGTTTCTCATCTGTAGAATGGGATGGTCACACTGTTCTCATAGATACACTGAGATGATTCAAGGAGATGTCCCAAGCTTACTCCCTGGAGACCAGCACCCACTGGTCTGCCGGGACAAGCAGAGCCTATCTCAGGGAGCCGAGGATCCCGGGGAGTGTGGCTGTGCAAGTGTTCATAAACCACAGGTGTGCTCTGAACATCCTCTGCTGATTTTGTTCCTGCAGAAGACCGTGCTCCCACAGGACTCAGCGCCCTCTCCTCCTCCTCCCGGGCATCCTGCTCCAGGGAGCCGCGCTCATTGCCCTGGGCCTGTTTAGCGCCCACAGAGGTTTTCCCTCACCCTTTGGGGACACTGTGTGTGCAATGCCTGGGCCTGCACATAGAAGGTGCTTAAACAATCAGGGAACCCACCTGCATATTCCCTCGGGGCCTGGGTGTCAGGGCCCTTGCATATCAGCCCTCCTCTCCACCAGGGCACCTGGCCCCCCGGCAGCAACAGGCACTGTGGCCTGGTGTAACTGCTCTGGGCCCGGGCCCCCCCCCCCACCCCAGACACTCAAGCCCCTGGCCAGTGCCGGGACTCCTCTATGCTGGCTGCTGCTGTCCAGCAGGACAAGAGGTGCTGACCCTGATGCACACTGCGCATCTCAGGCCTGGCTGTGGCCCAGGAAGGCAGCCCTGTGCCCCGTGGAGAATAAGATGCTCCACCCACGGCCCTGCGGGCTCCGTCCCCGACCTGACCGGATGCTCCATGGGCTCCATGCAGCAGCCCAGGGGCTCCCAGGGATACCTGCTGGCAGCTGTGTGTGGCATGTCACAGCCTGCCTGACCTGACACTTCTCAGAGACACCACCAGGCACACAAGGCAGCCCTGGCAGAGGTCAGGAGGGGGCAAGCACCAGGCCCCGGTCACCCTCCGCACTGAATGGACACGAAACCTACCTTCCCCCTCACCAGAATCTGGCCCTCGGGGTAGTGAGGGTGGGGTCTCCCCAGACACCTTCCCTCTACCCCGAGGCCTAGCACCAGCTGCCCTCCTGGAGCCCCTGGTCTAATGTGGCCCCACACAGCCACCGAGCTCATACAGGGCGTCCTGCTTCCTGGATGCAGGTGGCCTTGTCTGCCCGGCCTCTCCGGAGCCCTCTCCTCTCCCCCATCCCAGGGCCTTCACTCAGGTCCTCTCTGCCTGACTCTGGTTGCCCCTCTCAACCCTCCCTGCACAGCTTGGCCGGACTGGCATCTCAGAGAGGTGACTTCCAGCCCCTTTGGTGTCCCTCCAAACCTTCCCCACCACGCTACACCTAAAGTCCTTGTCACCTCCACACACAATTGAGGTACTTGGGGATTTTCCCCCAGAACGGCATTTGCGTGCTGAGAACAGGGTGCCTAGTGGGACCCCATGGAAAGACCCTCAGCAGAGCTGCCATGCTGAATCCCTTCCAGAGCTAATGTCTCCAGCCCAGCAAAGCCACTCCACTCCTCCCCTAGCTCGGGGCACCCAAGATCCCCAGGATCCCATGACCCACAAGAAGGGTGGGAAAAGAACCAGGGCCTTGCCCTGCCTGGGCTCCTACCAGGGAAAACACACCGGGTGCCCCTGCCCCCGCTAGAGTGGGGCACACGCTCTAAGGCCCCAGGGCCCAGGGGTGTGAACCAACAAGTCCCAGCCCCAGTGCCCAGTCCTCATTCCAGGAGGCCCCGCAAGTCCCCAGGCCAGTTCTGCCAGGCCTGGCAGCAGAATGGAGGACAGGCAGACCCAGCCCACATTCCTCCCCAAGGCCCCACTGGCGTGGGTCACCAGGGCCACCAGGGCCAGCTCCCCCCAACCCCAGCGGGGCTGCGTCGTCTGAAACATTTCTGCAGGACAGCAGCAGGCATTGCAGAAGGGTTAAGCTGCTCTCCCCCGAAACTAGTCTCTCAGGTGACATTCCCAGTGACACCCGAGGGAACGGCTGCCTCCACAGCCAGGGAGTCCGAATGACCCCGGGTTGGTGCCCTGGTCCCTGAGGAAGACTCAGGCCCGGGCTGGGCTGACCCTGCAGACCCATCATGGGCCAAGAAAGCCTCCGGTCTCCACCACATGGGAAGACCTACTGTGTGTCAGGGCTACGCGGGGCACTGGGACAGGAGTGACCCTCACAGACAAGGACACTGCCCACCTAAGGGGCAGGACACACGGCCAGAACGATCACAAAGCAACACGGTATTGCAGCAAATGAGGGCTGAGAGGCCATTTGAATGTGGGGCGCTCACAATGCACGCGAGGGAGAAAAGAGCAGGCAGAACAGGACGGAGCAGGAGGGCAGAGAGCACGGCTCTGAGGGTGCCACTCAGCTGGAACCTGCCCCCTGGGGGCACAAGTCCCGGCCAGGCGTGGAGGGACGGCTAGGATGACGTGGAGGGGCGGGGGAGGCAGAGATGCAGGAAAAGAAACACACAGGGTGGGCAGCCGGCCGGGCCTGGGGTCCCGGGAGGGGGCCACGTGGACTTCAGTGTGACGCAAGCTGTGGGTCACTTCTGGCTAGGCGGCCCTGGCCCTCCTCTGCCGACTGGCCTCATGGGTGGGGGGGCTGCTGTGGCCAGGGCCGGGTGTGGGGTGGTGGGAGGGTCAGTTCCCGAGCACCCCTGCCATGGCTGAGGTGAAGGACACACGTAGGCCTGAGCAGAAGCGCACAGAACGCCCAAGCCCAACCCCAGGTGCCTGGGGCCGAGGGCGGCAGCAGAGGGACTGGGCCGCCATTGCCCTCCGCCAGAGGTGACCCAAGCCCTTAATCCAGGCAGCCTGTCTCTCAAAACCGAGGTTCCCCGGAGGAAGAGTCACAGAATACCAGAGCCACCTGAGCTGCCAGCCGGGCCTGTCCCCCAGCAGTGCAAGGCCTTTCCAGGTGCCAAGGAGGTGCGGAACCAGGCACAAGGACCTCAGCCCTCCATAGCCATCAGCTGAATTAATCTCCGTTCTTTATAAACTCTCTGGCCTCGAGTGTTTTGTTACAGTGACAGAAAACAGGCTAAGACACTGCCAGTCTGGTCCGATCGATCCTCTCGCCTTTCATTTCACAGATAGGAGTTGGGGTCAGAGGGCAGTGAGAGGTCAAGATCATGCGGGAGGAGGGTGAACTTCAGCCCCAAATCTCCTGTGGGCTCCTGTCCCCTGCAAGCTGACCTACAAGAGGCAGAGGCGACACGGGCCGAGCTTTGTCAGAGGCCAGAGTAGAGACGGGAGGACCATGGTGGTCACTTGGCAGAGATAGGGTAGCGGCACAGGCCACAGAGGTGACAGGCGATGGCCGAGGCTCTGGACCCTTCCAGTGCCACGACAGAGGCAGAGTCACTCGCTGACCCTGCGGAAGGTGCAGAGAGGTGCAGAGCCACACCGCTGCCCCAGGGGACACTCAGGGTTAGCAGGCCTCTGTCCTCCCACTGTGGAGACAGCGCTCAAAGATGACCCGCGAATAATGATGTCTGTCACCTTCCTGGACCCCACAGCCAGGCCATCCAGCGTCCCGGTCACAGGCCTGGGCTCACCGAGGGAAGCAGCATCCCAAGGCCACACACTCATTGTGGGCAGCGCTGGATAAGCTCGGCCGAGCTCAGGTCTCCGGGACAGAGTCCAGGAGGAAGGAGCTGGACGGGACTCCAGGAAGCCCAAGGGTGCTGTGACACGGTTCTGCGTGGGGCTCCCCGCCTGACCCCACAGAGCCTGACAGAGCCCAAGCCTTGGGGAGTCCCTGCCAATGCATCCCCCGGGGCCAAGCGGTGTTTAAATAAACACAGTACACATGGGAACGGCGGGCACGGGGTGGGGCGGTGGGCCAGGCTCCTGTGCCAGGAGGAAAACACCTAGACCACTTTGGGACGTGAGGGGAGTGGTGCGGGGTCCCCAGCCCTGGGGTGCCAGGGAAGAGGCTTTGGTAGCCCAATGCCTGATCAAGAAAGGACTCAAGTGTCCACCACGTTCTGTGGGCCCTGGCTGGTGGAGGTGACAGGCTGGCCAGCGGGAGCCCTAGGTGCCGCGGGTGAGGCAGGGTAGGGAGGCTGGGCTCCATGGGACAGGGAGAGCACGTGCCAGCGGACTGGGCTGCAGCCCACAGTGACACCAGAGCCCCTCCCTGGCCACACCTGAACTCACCTTCCTGTGGTCCCCGAGCTCTGCTCTGGCTGAGTAAGGGAGAAGCTTCCAGAACTCCACAGGCCCCACAGCGCCAGGCCTGCTCTCCCTAGGGTTCAGAGCCCTGGACACTGTCCCTGCCGACCTTGCTTCAGCACCTGGGACAAGGTGACTCTGCAAGGTGGGGTGGTCGTGTGCCCACTGCACAGATGGGGATGCTGAGGCCAGGTGGGAAGGACACTTGCCCAGGGTCTCCAACCGGCCTGCTGGCTTTGGAAAACACAGTGTGGCTGCTGGGAACCAGTGACGGGTCCTGAGGGCACAGTGGGCTGCATTTCCCAGCCTCCCTTGCAGCTGGGCAGGCAAGGGATAGCAGTCTACCCAGCGGCAGGCAGAGAGGCCTCCCACGTACAATGCTCCTCCTTGCCCTCCACCCTCCTCCTGAGACACTGACGTGGATGCCAGGGTGCGGGGACTCGAACTCACTGTCCTGAAGGATACAGGGAAAGGATCGTGGTCAGCCTGTGTCCACGACCCCTGCACCCAGATGCCCAGGCCCTGCCCCAGCTCAGCTTGTTTAAAACCTGTGTACAGCAACTGGTCACCCACAGGGCAGAGCCTGGTCTCATGCACAGGACAGGAGGCCACCTGGCCCAACCTCTGCTGGATCACCAGCTGTCCCCTGCCGGTCTCTGCCCACCTCGCTCTCTAGTACCCCTAAGTTCTAGGGTTCTGCCCATCGCTGCTTCCTGCCTCTGCGGCTTTGCACATGATGTTCCCTCTGTCTAGAATACCCTTGTTCCCTTGGCTTATCTTCCTAGCAAATTCCTATTCATCCTTCCAAGCCCAATTCAAACATAACGTCCTCTGAAATGACCAACTTCCCTCTTCTGTGGGGTCCTCAACACTCCAGACAGCCTCTTCCCTCACACCCACCATTACTGTGTGCTAAGGCAGGTATATCTCCTTTGTGGTCAATGCTAAGGCCTGGCAAAGTGTCTGCAGACAGTTCCCCTGAGAAGTTTTGCAGTCAGGCTGTGGCCTGTGTCTCCCGCACGGCAAAGGGCCTGGGCAGGTGATCAATGTAAG